CCCCCTCGGTCGCGCGGGGGGAGAGGGGAATCACACACACGCACCCCCCCGCCGCCCCCCCGGACCAGCCGTTTGGGTGCCGGTGGGGACAAGCGCAGCTGTTTCAGGCGGGGGAGGTTTGGCCCTCTTGGGCAAATCTGTTGCGCAGTGTAACTCCCCCCGGCTCCCTCCCCCTCCCAGATGCACACAGATGCCCACACGCGCTCAGACGCGCCGCGGCTTTTGTCCTCCTGATCTGCTGAGATCAAGTGGGAAGCGGGATCACCAATGTAATCGGCTGTAATAAATAAAATAGCCCGAGATGCTGGAGATATACAGAGGGGAAATAAGAGCTTGTGTCCTTAACAGGAACATCTGATAAGGCCACCGAGGTGGCATCTTGCGTGTGGGAAGGAATCCGTCTTGCTGACATTCGCAGCCTGCTGTACGTGGGGAAATCCTAAAGCAGCCTGGGAGCTTCCCCAGCTCCTCCTTCCCCCCCCCTCCCCGAAGCTCCCTTTCCGATGCTCTGCAGCGGGGCTTTGTTGTCGTTGTTGTAGTCGCTGATTGGAAAGACAGGGGTCACCGCAAAAATATGCAGATGCAATTAATGGCTGGTCTATCTGCATTTCTTGGCGGAGCCCGGTTTCTGCCGCCGGCTCCCCCCAACTCGCGTCCGCAGTTGGCTCTTTCAGCCCACCACAATTTGTTTTTCACAGTTTAGGAACGTCGGTGGCTCTCACTAGAAAATTACTTCTGGGATCTGCAGTGGGAATCCATCTCGGGTTAAAGAGAGACAGATTATTTACATATCTATATACCACCCTATACAATAACAAATATTTATTACAGATTACTATTTGAACTCACACACGCACACACAAATGAAGAAGCTGCTCCCGAAGGAAAAAAAAAAAACCACAACAAAAAACACAAACAAACAAAAACACAACCCCCTCCCAAACAAACCAGGTTGGCTTGAAAGTAACATGTTCATAATAATATGAGGAAAAGGTTAAATACAGTAAACATGACAGCAAATTCAAAAGCAGGGTAAAAACAAGTACAAAAACCCCACATAAAGCAGTTAAAACCATTTGACGGAAGGAAGAAACTAACTCAAGAACTCCACCAAGGGACAAACAGATGAAATGACACCACAACAGCACTAAGCCCGCGTTGACCTTTCATCTTTCTAAAGTGTCGCGCTGATCTGGTGCAATTCTGTTGTGATCTCTTCACCTCCCTTCCTTACCACAGCCTCCCTCTGGCCGCTTCAGAGCTCCCTGAGTTCGCTGCAGTGAATATATTGGGAGGTCGGCTGAATTACAGGGAGTGCTGACACTTCTCCAGTGTCTTTCACAGCTTTGCAAATACGCTTGCTGTGTAGTAGCATGCAATGGGCAGAAGTGATTAAATTATTCATTGCAGCAACAGCCTTTCTGATGGACATTAAAGCTTCAGAGTTTAAATAAGGAAACCACAGATTTACTTTTAAGCGGATAACAACTACATCTGTGCTTATTTAACTGAATTGCTAGCTAAGCATGGAACCCGTTACTTTCTTTAAATCCTCTCTTACTCTCTGAGAATTGTGAGCTAGATAATACAGCATAAAAATTACTGACAGAGCAAAAATAATCTGTGTTGGATAACAGTGGTTAAATCTCACATAATTATAATTGTTCATTCTTGAAGTAATATATTTGAGGTCTTTTCAAAGTAAAAGATTCTTGCACAGGCATGATTCCATCATGTCTGAGTTTTCACATTTATAAAGAATGATGAAAAGTAGCTTTTAGCAGAAGTGATTGTGATTATTTTTACCTGGATTTTTTGCAGTCTGTATATGTTCCTTACAAATCACAGTGACTAAGTTTGGGGGTGGATGGGTGTTGGTTATTTGTTTGTTTGCTTTTTAATTGTATTATTCTATAGAATGTTATGTCTTTTACAGGGTGTTGGGTTTTTTGGTTTTGTTTTGTGTTTTTTTTCCCCAGATGTGGACCAAAAAAAAAAAAAAAAAAAGAGTAACCATTCAAAATAATACAGAAATGACAGATTGTTCTTAAAATCAGAAGGAAAAATTGATGAAAGGTCTTAAAAAAGCATATGAATTTTCATGAGGGAAGGCAGATTTTGGTTAGATTTATGCTTCATATGCAACTACTGGCTTTCTTGGATTTGCAGGGATATAAATGAGTGCTTCACCCAGCCCATTATTTTATAGATTTATTTTTAAATTAAATTATTGTTCAATTTCTCTAAATGCAAAGTAAACTAGAAAAAAAAAAAGTGCATTTAAGGTCAGTTTGGATTAATTCCTATCAAAAATGGAGGGAAATTATGAATCATTAGTATATATTTTACATAAAGAGATACAATGAGACATTCAGGGGAGATAATTACAGTTGGATTTAATTTAAATGAAATGTACAAGAACCAGGTAGCACTGACAAAAAAAGAAAAACGTGTTCATTGTCACTGAAAATATTAAATGGGTACAGTTGATATGCATATGGATTCACTAACAGAGAACACCACAGTTACTTTTGGAAATAACGTAAGATTTTTTTTATATAATGTTTCAAAGGTTGATATCAATAGTGAACACACTGAAGTTCTCAAAGTGCTTTGTAAATGATCCCCATGAGATAAAAGGAAGTGCAATGACCTGCTCAGTCACCTAGCAAGCTGCTAACAAATCGGTCTTTCCAGGTTAAGTTCATTAGGCCACATTTTTGTACTCTATAGTGTTGTTTTTTTTGTTTTTTTTTTTTTTTTTTTTTTTTTTTTTTTTTTTTTTTTTTTTTATAAATATATTCTAGATTCAGCTCAGTATTTGTCTTTGGAATAGTGGCAATCATTTCTGCTTTATTTGATGGACTCAGTCAAAGAAGCTCATTCTGAAGAGAGTTTTAAACCAAGTTTGTTTACCAGAGAACTACATATACAAAGGAAGGTCTTGTATCATGAAATTTGATGGATAGCAGTAAAATATACTAAACTTTTATATTGAAATACAGTTATTCTCAAACTCTTGCTCCCATTTTTTTTCTGTCAGCTATCCTTTATATACAGAACTGAGTACATGGACTTTGTAAAACCATTTTGCCTCTACTCACTCTTGAAATCTGTCAACCTAATAATTTTCAGTTCTGTGCTCTACATTTTGGGGGTTTTAGGTGTGGTGTGGGGTTTTTTTTTTGTGTTTTGTTTTTTTTTTTTTGTGTGTGTGTTTTTTGTTTTTGTTTTTGTTTTTTAGGATGCTGCAAATGTCTTTACTGTGAGTTAAAGATTTCTTTATTTTTTAAATGATAATCACCAAATGATAAAATCTTTTGTTTGATATTCCCAGTGCACCCTGTGCAGGTTTAATTTATTATTAATATAATTCAGGATAGCATAGAAGATCTGGAATGTTTTTGTGAATCTACTGTGTAAGCTGCCTGTTGAGTAGAAGAGAAAATATCCAAGCAAGATGGCAACTCTGCAGAGTTCAGTGGAAGAACCTTTGATATTAAAATTCAACTGCTGTTAAGGATAATTGAATTCTGTGGTGCTCTATTCCCTTCTGTAAGTTAATGCAAATATATATTATTTGCTATACCTAAAATGTGATTTTTAAGTCTACACATATACTCACAATAAGTAAGTGATGGGAGCTTTAATGTTTCTGTCTACTTCACCAAAAATAATCATTGCTCGCTGACTGAAATAAAGGTCATATAAATACACAGTTACTATATATTAGGGAAATAAATATGTGGCAAGGAAAGTAATTTAGAATACTACCAAGGTGTTAATTGCTTATTGGACAGTCTATTTGGCCCTGTTCTGAAATGATTAAAACTACATTACTAGGTACTTTACTATGTTAGTCTTGCCATTTCTTTTCATATGAAAAGTGCAACATTAGGACCCTTAAAGATCATATTGTTATAACCCTTATTTAGCTGTACAGTGCAGAAGTGTACAATTTTTTCCTTAATACTTTTTTTGACCCTAGCTAAGGCATGACTATTCGCTGAAAAAAAGTAAGGGCTATTCACCTGCTACCATCTGCTGTTAATGGTGAGCAAGAGAAAGCAAGTGTGAAGAGGTGGAGTCCCTTGAACTTTTCCCTAAACTAGATCAAAATAAAAACACATGCCGGTACTGCACAGATCTAGTGAAGAGTTTTGGCATTTAGACAAAATGAGAATTAGGGACTGGGGAAGGCCCTGCTTATATCACCCTAAAAGATGATCCTGCAAGCACCAATAGGAAAAAAAATCAATCCAAGTCCATCCAGTAGAAAAATGTATTTTAGTCTGTTAAGCACTGATCTGTATGGTGGTACAACCCTGATCAGCTTTGCTTCTGAAATGTTTTGCACTGCTATCTTCATTCTCCACAATAAGAGTGAAGGGGTTGTAGCCACCCATCCTGTGGGGAAGATTACACAGCCTGTCTTTGAAATCATTTGTTCTCCTGCTGCCTCTTTTGCGCTTTTTGCCATGCACAGGCAACCATACTTTTAAGTCTGGTTTAACTGTTTTGCAAAGTTTCTTGGTGATTATCTTTGCATAATTACATTTTGAACTTCCTTTATAAGAGTAATAAGTACTGTACAGAGTAGGTCTTTATGACCTACAATATATCTAAGG